TTGAAAATTGTTTATCTTTTATGCTGCAATTTTACTTAAAAGCTGCCAACAGAGTTTCAACATGAATAGTGTAGTTGCTGTGGTATTTCAACATTCAGTTGAAAAGTATTTCGAAGGATCTGGTCGCTGCTGTATATAGGCTCATCACAGTTTGCATAATTGTATTATTTGGTGACAGCTCGTGATTACTTAGTTCAAATAAATGTTGTGGAGTGCTAGGAATAGTTTTAAAAAGGTTTCTTTACTCTTTGAAAACAATAAGAAGAGTATTAGGTTAGTTTAAGCGTTCTATTCGGTTAAACCGCTAATGGATTCGTATTGAATTTGCTTTTAAAATTCACTACTCGCAAACCACTTTTTTGACCACGTCTTGTAGTATGACAGTGCTCGTGCTGTCAACGCTTCACCGCTTTGACTTCGTGCGTCGCGGTGAAGTGATCAAAAGAAAAACGTCAACTGGAGGCGGGTTTTTTATATGCACAGCATGCAGTAGATTTCCAAGTGTATTTGGCCTAGCGCAAGTCCGCTGTCACGCGCGTCCTTGTCTTCTAATAATAGCGTGGTCTCTCGCTCCTCAAGTGAATGGAATTGCTTGTTTAGAGTGACAATACGAAGATATTCGTTTGCAGGTCTATCGAGTAGCTGCTGCAGAAATTCTTGCTTCTCGTTTCACATCGCTATCATAATAAGCATAGGTGGCATTCACCACGAGTAGCATAATATATGCCAGAGTGAGTATAAACTGAGCGATCGAGTGACGTGCGCGACGTAAGCATTCAAGTGCTCCGAAAGCAGATCTTTGAGCTGCAACAAATGCTTACAAAGTTAAGATTATTCTTATATAGTCCACATATGAACTCTTCAAACCGTCATCATCCATTTTTCACTGCATATCGGCGCCGACTTCGATGCTTTCGGCGATCGGTGCAAACGGAGCGACGAGTCTTTCGGCAGCGTCGACACAGGCATGCGCACTGCGTTTTTGTAGCACCTTGGTAGCACCAACACCTTGGTAGCACCCTCTTCCCATTCATCGTAGGCGGTTTGCCAGCACGCGTGCGAGCGTCAGTTTTGTTCTCCTCTTCACTACGGCATTTGCATCGGCTGTGCCCGCCCCCGACACACGAATCTTGCAGCGTCGACATAGGCGCAGTCATGTTTGCTGACGAAATTAAGCGCGAACTAATAAGCGCGCAGCTTCCTTGAACCTCGTGGGGCCGCTTGGTGCAGTGCACTGTGAGGAGGGGGGGAGTCAATGTGCTCATCTTTGTAAACTCACGACCGGGACGTTTGAAAAAACATAAGTCATGACAGAAGAAACAGGCACTTCAAGCTCGTCCCCAACTAACACCTCGGAGTTACTTTCCTATTTCTGGCCCAAAAAACCCCGGGGTCTGGTTCAGCCAAGTTGAAGCCTGCTTCCAGCTTCACCGCATCACATAGCAGGAGACGAAATACTTCCACGTCGTAGGAGCATTGCCATTTGACATTGCTGACGCTATAGATGACGTGCTCACCTCCACTCCAGGTAAAAAAGGCTTACGAAGAACTCAAGAGCACCGTCCTGAAACGTCTTGAGCTGTCCGAACAGAGCAGGCTGCGACAATTCCTGTCTTTTGAAGTGCTCGGTGACCAACTTCCTTCAAAACAACTTCACCGATTGCGCCAGCTACTTGGCCAACAAACGTCAGAGGAGCAGCAACAACCATTGCTTTGCGAGTAGTCTTTCTAGACACTACCACAGTCAACACGAATGATAATCACCGGCTCGGAGGATGTCACCCTCGAGCGTCTGGCTCAACTCGCCAGCCGCATTGTCGATAGAACCGATCCATCAAAAATGCCTATTGCGGCAGCGGGTACGTCTCAACATGCGGACCGGTTACGTCGCCTGGCGGACAGAGTTGACAGGCTGGCTGCAGCAGTCGAAAACATCGCCTTGTCCTACAGACACCGCCCTGCACAGCATCGTTCGTTGTCACGTGCTCGAAATCCGAAGCACCGCGATCACTAGAGCGAGACAGAGCAGTGCATTTGCTGATACTACCGCCGTTTCAGAGAGCAAGCCACTCGCTGCACCCAACCATGCTCGTGGACGAGAAACGCACCGGCCAGTCACTAATGGCGGAATGTGACACAGGCCGTCGCTCAAGCCGCCTCTTCTTCGTGGTCGACCACATCACCAGCAGACACCTCCTTGTTTATACCGGGGCAGAGCTATTCATTCTATCAGCAACAGCTCAACATTGCCGACGCGGCAATCTATTTCCAGCCTAATTGCAGTCAATAATACTGCTATTACTTCATATGGAGTGCAGTCGATGACGATGGACATCGGACTCAGGCGCACATTTGCTTCTGTTTTTTTTTCTTGCTCCGCCATCTAGGGGTGGGGGGGGGTTATAGCGGAAGTGAATGACGGCGGCCGCGATCATTTTTAGTGTGTGCGCGTACCAAGTCACATGCTGAGGCGCACGGCGCATACGCGGCCACACTACCTCATGGTATTTTCGGCGTGCCGCGGACGATAATCAGCGACGCCCCTTTTTGTGTTATCGGGTTTTGGAGTCCTCTATTTCATGACGACTGAAGCAGTCTTGTCCCAAGCTTCAAGAAGTGTAAGTGCGTTTTTTACGCTCCAACTTGGAGGCAAGTACGCTACAAGTTGATCTAAATACGTACTAACTGTACTTTACAACGCTGCCATTGAACTGTCGAAAAAAAATTTATATGGTCAGCATGCATTATTTGTTCTTCGAAAAAATTTAATGAGAGTATGTCTATCAATGTAGAGACGGAACAATAGCGGACCCATTAGAGGCCCTTGAGAAACGCGTTCACAACTTTTAATATCTTTGATACTACGTTATTGATTGTAACAAATGAGCACCTATTTGTTAAGTAACTTTGCACCAGTTTTAATGCACCAATATGAACACCACAATCATGCAGCGTATCTGAAAGTACGTCATGACTCACCGAATCGAAAGCTTTCCTCAAGACTATGAATAGCCCTATATTATACAACCTCTGTTCAAAAGTGCTCAGAATTTCTTGTTTAGCTTTCAGTAGCGCTTTCTCACACGACCTTCCTTTTCGCATCGTACTGTGCCTCGCAAAAAATATTACACTTTGTCATGAAGCATTCAAAACGGAGGTTCGTTTTTGTTTCAAAAACTTTAGATAATACAGGTAAGACACAGATCGGCCGATAAATGTTGATACTATGATTTCTTTTTTCTTTATGAATTGGGCATTCTCAAGCTAAATTAGGCACATAAGCAAATATTTCACACTCAAACATTTAGATGACATCGTGGACAATGGGAACAGAACTTATGTGTGTAATGTGTTTGACTGGAAGTTAAAGGCTCTTATCGTTACCTGAAACGCAATAATTTTTAAGCTTCTTAATTATTTTTTCAACTTCAAGCACTGTTATATTGAAAAAAAAAACAAAGAGTTTAGGAGGTTCTTTCTTTCCAGTGTCTCAGTGTCCGACAGGCCATTTGGTAACACATATTCACCACTGTGCATAAACTGAGAATTTTGTCCTTCAGCAGCGTTTTCATCACTTAGAGTGCCCTGAGGCGTTGTTACCTGTATAGAACTACTTGTATTTTCGCTAGAAGTAATATCATTTACAGCCTCTTATACTTTTCTTGAGTTGTATAAAATACTGGAAAACCAATTGTAGTAGTACTGAGCTTAGTAAATTTTACATCAAAATTAGGCTTATTACGATAACATTTAAACTCAGACAAGCTTTTCACGAAATAGTGTTGTAATTTGTATTTCGTTTTTATTCGCATCAAGAGCGTAAAAATAACCCATGGTTCTTTGTGTTTGTTTATACGTTTTGTACTGTATTTAAAAGGAAAAGCCTGACCATAACAATGTTTGAGCTTCTCATAGAAAAAAGTGTATGCTTTGTTGGGTCCGTGGTAGTCATCACGAATTCCCGTTTACTTATTCGACTAGTGAGCTAAAACCTAGCGAAGGAGAATTTTTTATTTGCATCGTTCTGGACTTTTCGGTCACGCGTAAGATGATGATTCTTCACTCACAACCAATGACGCCGCGACTGACGTTGACGCCGGAACTGCTGCGAAACGAGCTCTCTAACGCTATTCCGCTAAAACATTCTGGGTCAAAGTAGGGATGTACGCCGAGATGTTTTTCTCACAAGCAGATGTTTCAACAAACAGCCACGCCACTGCTCTTTTTGTCCATGAAAATAATGCCATCAAATGTCACATATGTCTATACAATTCATCGTTTCCAAATTATGCTCACGTGCACGTATGCGCGAGACACAATTTCAACCATGCCTCTGCTTGCGAATTCAGCGACTGTAATTGCCTCTGCTTGAAATGCAGTGAACGTAACTTTCATCCTTTACAAACAAATGCGTCCAGCATATATGTTTCACCATAGAATATGAAATATTGCTGTAATAATGCGTGGTACAAGTGTACTTTGCAATCGTGCATACGATCGTGGGATTGTCTTATTTACTTCATAGTTTAAGTCAGTCATCCACTTCAAAAGGCGCCCACGTTACTGCACCCTTGGGGGCATATAGTGGGCGCATAGCGAGCTGGAAAATATTTTATACATTGTATGCACTATGAACAGAATATCACTGTCACGTTCAACTCTTAACGGAGAAGCCTAAGCGTCCCCCGATTTTTTTCGCTCAGGGTATGCCCAAGTTGATCAGTGCACATAATTAATTTTTTGGGTACACTCATTCAGTGATCATTATTTTTTTCTTGTTCAGGCATTTTGATACTTTAATTTCTGAGACTGGCTGTTGAAATTGATTTCTTGTGTTGTGCCCGCGATTATCTTTACAAGTTCCTAAATTTACATTTAACTAAAAAGCTTCTTTGTAACGTATCAGGTGATGAAGGCGTGAGGCGTCGAAGTCAGATATCTCACCAGAGGTAGCCTTCACCTGCAAGTGCTCTTTTTTTTTCTGGTCTTGTTCGCGGCAGACACGTCTCCTTGTGACAAATGAAGGCCCCATACTGAAGCATGCCGACCAGCTCTTTCTGATGTGTGGAAGGACGGGCGTCACGTACAGCCACCCTGCAGAGCTTTTCAACGACAGCCGAGCACCTGCTACGCTTACGCTGGGAATCTCGGGCCTGTCAGCGTTGGATAATTCTGTAGCGTGAGGCAGCTTCTGCTTTTTTTAGCCCCACTAATTCTTAACGAAAAAGCATTCGACTATCTGCCACTAAAGAGAACCATGGGGGGAGCCGAAGCAGCGCTCGTGTTCTTTTAAAGACGATAGTCTTTCTTGGCAATCTTCAAATGAAAAATTTTGGTCTGTCTGTCTGTCTGTCTTTCTGTCTGTACATTTGTCTGTTTGTACGCCATAACGATGTCTCAAACGGCACTAAACGGCCAACACCATCCACAGCGCCCACCAAAATTACTCAAGGTTTAGCATTCATAGTTGTGCGATTGTCATCTAAAAAGTAATTATTGTGCATATCTGAGGCGCCACAACAACGCTTAATGTTTTTTTATGTATGCCTTTATATTAGAAGACGCACACAAGTAACTCTAAAGAATACAGCGTTTAAGCGCGCTGCGCTGATATTGGAACGCGATGCTCAAAAAGGTGTTTCCAACGCTTTGCTACGACGGCACAGGGGTGGCACCTGCCCGTTGCTTTGCGTTCTACACCTTATCACCTCCGAGACTGGCGCACATCTTTTTCCGCGGGCTGCATGCCTTCGTTTTTGAAGATAGCTGCCAGATGGCACTTCGGTATAACGTGCCTAGATGCACTTGTTCGCCTCCGCCACATGCTCGACGCACTCTAACGCAGCACCTGCAGAATACCATTCACCGAATTTCTTGCGCAGAACACAAATTTACCGTTTTGTTCACTCTCTCCAGGCGCAAGACTATCGTCTTTCGGCGACATTTTCAGTGTAACATGTATATTAGGGCCAATGTTTTTGTTTTCATGTGTATGTTTTTGTGTATGCTGCATTTATGTGTGAAGTGGTGTGTATGTTGTGTACTACTTATGCTTCCCCCCTCCGATTTGTGTTGGTTACCGTCTGTGTGCCGAAAGTGAATACCCAGCAATGCTAGGTTTGTGCAACGTGGCGAGCGGGCGCAGCATTTACAGCTGCAGTGGAGAGATAAACAGGAAAGGATAAACGAAGCGGAAGCAGCACTGTGCCACCTTTTGCCACCTCCTCGCATTCACCCAAAGATAGGCGGGTGCAAACAGTTGCCGAGGGACGGACGCAGTTCCGAGCAAAAGCTGCTTCGCGTCTAAAAGAAAGCAAGCCATGGCCTTAAAGGTGCACCAATATACTCCGGCAAGGGTCCGCAACGCTTTGACTCATAGAGCCGAGCGGTATGAAGCCTTCGCAGGGGAGTAGGTGGGGGATCTGGCAAATTTTCCAAAAGTAGAAGTGTGGTCATTGCTGGCAAAGAGGAAAAGAAATTGCGAAATAGATTGTAATGTACAAATGTCGCATATAATCCTTGTTTACTTCAACTGGATCATATTTCTTTACTACCAAAAAAAAGCTTTTTTAGGGTCAACAGATAGGAAGTTACAATGCCAGGTTGGGGGGGGGGGATGTTATAACGTCACACTGGGGCCGCATACATGTGTACGCAGGCAAGCCAGGAAGTACATAATTCAAAGAAGTATTTGAGATAGACGTCGCTAAATACGAATGCCGGAGCATAAATTAGAGATAATCATATATATTTATTTTTCCTTTATTGAAGTAACGTGGAGATATATCTGCAAAAAAAACTGGGGTAAAGTATTCCGATAATGCTGATGCTTCGCAAGGACAATCATAAGTGCCTGTAAGTAATGTTGCAGCGAATTGAAGGTATTAAGTTGAGCGTATCGGTGCGGTACATTTATAAAGAAAATACGTTTTGCTAATATTTTTGCTAATATATTAAATAACTGAGACGGCCTCACTAGTTGAACTGTTATTCAGCACAGGACAGGAGCGTATGCCTAGCCAGTGAGAACAGCAACAACGTCTGGTCCGAGCGCCTCATGCTTAGCCCTGCCGAGCTTTGCATGAGCCACTACTTCTTATTCATTACATAATTCCCTCTCGCTGAAGATGGAACCAAGTAAGTATCGTATGGTGTCGTGAAGACAAATGGTTCGCGATACGGTAAGAGACGATTCACGAGTATGATTTCGCACTGAAAGTTTTCACTATGACGCGGTCATGTCCTTGGTACCTGCGGACAAACTTCGTGAAGTACCTGGCGCAGCAGTGCGAGACACTCGCAGCCAAACAAGAGAGTTGGGCGAAGACATGTAGTGTCAATCTAATCGCATACAGTGGACGCTCAGCCTAAGGTAGCGCTGTGGCTGTTGAAAGTCGGGCGATATTTCTCAAGGAGGCTCAAAGGTTCACATCTGGGTTGCGGGTGTAGGCCTTCACGAAGACACGGTTGAAAATGCCGCTAGTCGAAGGGCAAGTCAAGCAACTACAGGACAGGGCGTTGACTGCTGATGATTCATCAAAAACGTCCAGTGTAGTGTTTTTGAATGCATCAATTGAGCCAATGCATTTGTTCCAAAGCAGCGTGATCGTGAATGGGAACGGATTGTCCACAAGCACGTCGGCCGCACCACCTTGTAAAGTAAACAGAGTGGTTGTGAGTGGTGATAGGTGGCGATGAACGAAAGCATTGAAAGGCGTGAAGAGTGTGGTAGCGCCAGAGGCCGCGGAACACGACAAAGGTGCGATGACAGCAGCGCGCGTAGGGACCTGGCTGCCGTTAGTAATGACCAACTTCGTGCAGAAAGGGTGACCGTGCCCAGGTAGAGCATAACGAAGGGGAGAAAAACTGACTTAATCGACTTCAGCAACGGCACAATCTATAACAGCTTGGAGGTGGGAAAGAAGTTTCCTTCCTAAAATGATGTAAAAACATTGGGGAAGTACGACGAACTAAGGGCACTCCTTGAAGTACAAGTCTGGCGGTACACGAGGCCACAGGCTGCACAGGCTGTGAAGTGGCAGTATGAAGAAACGAACCAAAGCACGCCGTCGTCACTTTTTGAAAATTGAACAGCAAACATTTTCGGCGATGGCAGAAATGGTGGCACCAGTATCAAGGGCAAGTACAGCTACACCTTCAAAAACAGCATTATTACACATATGGCGCTAAAAGAATACGGCTTGTGCTTAGTGAAGAGGACGCCATTCTTGCCTCAGAAACTGCGTCATTTAGTTTTCTGTGTCGATTGCTGAGGGACGTTGATGCATCAGGGAGGGTAAGCGGTGGCGGGAAGAAGCAGATTGGCGGTCAGAAGCTGGTCGATGGCTTGGTCGTGGAGGGTGCTATTCGGAGTAAGAAGTGTAGAAGAACGTGTTGTTATCATATGGAAGTGGGCATTGAATTGAGTGTAGGGGTCGGCTACGGCACAGGTGTGTGTTTTATCCAGATAGAGAACACAAAAAACCGATGAGTCGGTTGTCGGCAGTGCGCCAGGCATTAGAGACCCAGTGGGCTGGAGCTCATAGCGGCTGGGCGGCGTAAATAGGAGCAGACAGTGGAGGTGGTGCGCGGAATGACAGTGGTCTGGGGTTCCCCGATAAACGCGCTCCCTTGGCAGGAGGCGCCACTTTTTGAACGGGTGTGTGCCGCATTCCGATCAGCAACCGCCATGCAGCTCCCCCCGTCTCGTCACGGCTGGTAGAGTGAGACACGTGCGCGGCGTTTTCTCGAGCAAAATAGCTGGGTGTTGCGTGCCACAGTGCACAAACCACTCATGAAACGGCTACAGGATGTTCAAATTCCTGAAAGATTCGAAAGGGTAACTCTTGTGGCTAGTAAAGATCAAGCGCGAGAAGTGGCAACCCACGGACTATTCGTGTTTGTGCAGCGTTCCGTATCAGCGTTTCGCGAGTTGTAAGTTAAACTGCTGTCACGCGGGCACTTTTAATCGCGATAACGCTTTATGTGATTGACTGTCTTGCGCCAGCTGCAGAACGGCGCCAAGTCCTATTGACAAATTTGATTCCGATCGGGCCTATTTGTGATCACCAGTACACCGGGTGCAATAACCGTTCATTTGCATGTTGTGTACATGAGTATATAACTCGTTAGTTTTGGATCCCACAACATGCTTTCTTCTCAATCGCTTCTTGTACACAAGCTGCCATTGCGCGAAGATGTGCGTCAACGTTGTGCGCTTGTTCCTGCGGGCGCCTTCAACAATTTTTTTAAGGGCAAAGCTCTTTACGCTGTGGCTCGCATGTCGCATGTCGTCGTAGTAGAAGTAGCCAGCTGCATCGCATTGCATGTCAATTAAAACGGTCTTACACAATATCCATGTAGTGAATGATGATGAGTGCGGCGAAGCGTTTATCAGTCCGTCCGTGCTTACGTTCGTGCGTCCATCTGTTCATGTGTCCATACATTCGTCCGTGCGTCTGTTCATTCATGCGTCCGTTCGTGCGTTTGTTCGTCCACCCATTCATCCGTCCATGCGTTCGTTCGCTCGTCGGTCTATCTGTGCCTCCGTTCCTACCACCTTCGACAAGAAGTGCGCTTTGAAGCTTGTATACTTCAGCCAATTTTCGCACATGCCGACTAACTTCAGTTATGAAAATGATGACTCGCGTACATGGTTGACATGATTTTCTAAGGAAAATTAGAGTTTTGTGGAGATTCTGAACAGGAAATCGACGATGTGAAAATCTTTTCATTGAAGCGTTGACTTCAATTAGATTGCAGCATTTAGCACCATACACATGGATTTCTCGTGAAAAAAATATTGACAAAATATGGATCGTGCGTAGTGCAGGGCTGCAAAGAAAGGCTCGGCGAGCCATGAACACGCATATTTAACTGCACTGAAGGAGTATGTTCAGGATGGCGAGAACTGGTGTCATCTGAGCGGTGAGGTTAGTGAGCGCGCTCATACCTTGTGAAGAGGACTCGCAATGAATCACATCATGAACAGACAACCTCTTTACCCTGATGTCCCCTCTCAAAACTGTAACTCAATATTTAATAAAAAAGGTGAAGTACAGCGTGGAGGCATGCAAGCAATAGCAAGGTTCTTTGGAGATATTGTTGATAACAAGGTAAGCACGAGTAAAGCTGCGTGTTCACTTGCTTCAGCTCCAAACAACGCGAACCAGTGGAAGT